GATGCTCAAAATGGAAAACTTTTCAGCAATGATGGTCCAGCAGTTTCCGAGAAAATTTGAAAGTATTACGCACTCATACTTTGCATAGGTACTGAAGATAGTGCTCCATATGCTCAAAAATAAAGTTCAGTTAACAAGTTTTTCTCATACTTCATAGTCTGGCTCTATGCTGACGTTCCTCTGTCCCCTGCAATCTAGAAAAGGTTGCATCGAGTTTGATGACATGTTAGGTTTAGTAGGTAGTGCTACTTCATTATCTCATGCCATCCCAACATCTCCGAGCTTCGTTGCTGTATGTATGTTTTTGAAAATATTTGGGCTAGTAGTAAGAATCTACGATACTGTCAAAAAAAAAATCGTGACACGAAAACTTTGGCAGAGCTCATCTTATGATTTACCCATATACCCAAAGAACATTTGAATGCCAAGGAATTTCATTGTATTAGATTGACTTACAAAAATATATACTGGGAAAGTCAAAACTCAAGAGAAGGAGCAGAACGATTTTGCAAATAATTATTCTGGTCCTCCTGTCTGCTCCTAAAATCAATGACAAAAATCAAGAGAGCGTGATATCGACGTGAAGGGTGAGTGTGTCTCAATTTTCTGGTTCAGGTGACACCCAAAGACACATGACATGCTCGAAGCACCTCCATTAAGGGCTGTTTACACGCTGCACTTCAATACTTAATTGTGTGTAGTAGCGCGTGGTAAAGCCAGACATGGAAGGCCTGTGATTGTTTTACGATCATGAGGTGAGTATGTATTTCTAGGCATAGGTAGGTAAGGTATGCTGCCTTTGTCGTACTATTCGACTTATTTTCATTTCGGGTTGACAGAAAAGGTGGCAAGTAAGTTGCCTCTTTACTTTTCACGCAATTTTGTCAACAGTTAGACTACATTCGATTTATCTAAAAACTCAATGCCGTATGAAAAAATCTGGTTAAGGCATGGAACATATGGAGTCAGCCTACATAACAAAGATCTTAAATAAAAGTGAAACCAAGCACTTCTTATAAAAAAGCACAAGTACAACAAAAGGTAAGACATTGGGATATTTTACTCAAAAGAGTCGAATAAAATCGAAAAACTACCTAACAACATTGTTATGTAAAGTTTCATGTTCATTTAAGTACGATATATCGTAAATGCTACATCCGAAAATACAAAAACGTAAATTTCTCTCTTAATGATGTATGTGAGGAAAACATGTGGTGGACCTCATGTAACTGACTGGTTTTTTGAATATTTGTGAAATGAAATAAAATACGTCCATTTTTTTCACCTTAATCTTCTATTGAAACTTAGAAACTATGTATGAAAGATAAATCAGACAAATGTCCGACGCTAGAAGCCGCGCAAACCTGAGCCCTGTTGATTACATGTTCCATCACTTTTTGGTAGGTTTCGGGAGGAATCATTTCAATCGCTTGCATAATATTGCTCTTCAGCTGCTCTACAATATTTGGTTTGTTGGCATAAGCCCTATTTTTAAAAAATCCTCATAAAAAAAGACAGGAGCCGTTAAATACGGTGACCTTGGTGGCCAGTTGACATCTCCAAATCGAGAAGTAAAAGTCCCGGAAATATTGCTCTCAAAAGATTCATTGTTTCGCTAGCTGTGTGACAAGTTGCTCCGTCCAGCTGGAACCATATGTTTTGCAGGCTAAATTGTCGGATTTGAGGAGCCAGAAAGTTTTGCACCGTATCATGGGAGCGCTCGCCAGTGACAGTAAGAGAATGGACCTGCAGCGTCTCCCAAGAAGTAAGGTCCAATGACACTTCCATATCAAACACCGCATCAAACTGAGACTCGACGAGGATGTAGTAGTCGTTGATGGATGACACGAAGGTTCTGTAATGCCCAGATACGACAATTCTGCTTATGAACAAACCCTTTCATATCGAAGTGGGCTTCGTCGCTCATTATCAGTTGTCGGTAAAAATCGTTATTTTGAGTATTAAGCTGCAATATGGCATGCCTTGTCTGGTAGTCGTCTCAGTGCGATCCACTATACACTTTCACATACTCTCTCGATATTTTCCGGAATACGAACGGTTCGAACATGGCCCGAGCTTGGCAAGTCTTTAACTTGACCTGTTTGTTTAAATTTCTGACGATTGGTGTTGACACTGGGCACATTATTTCGACCGAAATTTTGTCGTAGCTTTCGAATCGTTGCATCAATCGAATCATTAGGTAAAACGTTTTAACAATACAGACGCGTTGTGGGATCGTGTAGCGCTCCATGATGAATTGAACACATCTGTTTTAAATAACTACTACGGCGCCATCTACCGAAACGCGTGTATCAGTCAGTTATATATTGGCAACCCTGTATAATCGTTGCGTACCGATATAAAAAACTTCTTTATAATAAGACGTATTTCATTGATACCAAAATACAACGTCTACAAGTCCGTGACCCCTACAATCCCAAGCTCCAATATCCAAACCCTCCAAAAAGTGTCTGAAAATGACCAGATGTCTTTGAAGTTTGGGCGATTTTTATTCCTTCCGTTTTTACCCGTAGCTTCGCCACCCCTGGATCTATTTTCAAAAGATGCACAGCTTTTTCATACTCGTAGTAATAAAAGTGTGTAAAAGTTTTATCAAAATCCGAGCCATATTCTGCGAATTTCAGAGGAGTCATGCGGTCAAGGATTAGATGAGAGGTTCACTTTAAGTTTCAATATAAGATCCAAGATCTCTATTCCTTCTTCAAGAGACGGTTGGACTCCAGATATTTTCCAAGCACCTGATATATAATATATAAGACACATTATACCTACCTGTATGTCCATTACAAGAAAGATTTATTTTATCTTATTCTCATAACTTGTGAGCGAGTTGCTCTATGGTATAATAAGCAATAAGTTCCAAAGATTAAGTCGGTTGAAATATTGTAATTGGCAACAAGTTGTACTTGAATTATTGCCTGGTACTGAAAACATCGATAACTGTATAGTTATGCGGGTACGAGTATACGTTTGTTGTAGAATATAAGAAAATATTTGGACTTGTAGGTGATAAAATAGACTTTGTATAGTCAAATAAGTATTAACCCACCACCCTGCATTTCAATTGTGGTGCAGAACTTGAATAAAAAATCCTAACACGAGTGCTATTAAACTTCATTTCGTTATCGAATTTTCGAGAACCTGAAAAACTGTTTTGCTTTAAGATTAACACATTTGTCAGGTCTACGACCATGACGTGTTATTGAATTCATTGTATCCCAAATAATTTTGTCAAATATTTTCGAATTCACCAGTTAAAGTTCCAAAATCGCCTCCAAGAAAATCTGAATTTGTAGTAACATATTGTGCTGCCAAAACTCATTATTATTAAATTAGCATACAGTCAAAGTGAAAATCCAGGTACTCAGTTATCATTATTGTAACGTAAGAAATGAGGTCCGCTGAGATTTTTGAGCTTTTGAATAAATTTTGAGTACACCCTAATGATCAGTTACTTGAAATATAAACCTTGGTAATTTTTCGAATGTTTAAGCAGTTGAAAATAAATACCACGGAGTTTTAGAAAGATTTGAAACTTTGTTTATTTACTCATAGTTTTGCCTTCACTGCACCGATTCTCAAAAACGGCGACACCATAATGACATCACGTCAATTCAAGGCTTAACCGCTAAATGCTGTCGATTCTGGCGTTATAGTAGATGCTGCCTGCTCGCCATTAAAAACTAATAATACCTACGGGTTTCGTCCGACCGACCACAGACTATAGGACCAGAGTGGGCGGTCTGTGTGTTACTAATATTTGTATTACATAGCTCTCTGTCTCTCCTAAAACTGCATAAACACCTTTTATGAGATTCTAGGGTTAGAGAAACGTTAGAAACGTTAACAAAATGACAACTAGAAAAATTGTTTAACTGAAGCTTGAAGATATTTGCGGTAATGATATTTTCCTAGTTGGTGCGTGGGAGGAAGAACAGAAAAAAGTAAAGCAGATTCTATCAGGAAAATGGAACCAATCGACCTATTTAAAACTTTGAGTACACAAAACATTGAGCCTTAAATAAAAGTTGAAAATAGAACCTTGAGTAGAGATTTGATATAGAGGGCATGTACAATTGTTCAAGTCATCTGAAAAGCATATTTTTGTATCGAAATTTTTAGCATCTCCAATAATTTCCAATAAATACAATGGGATTTATACTAGTTTGTGTGAAGATCTATGCGAATTCGTTGACATGAAGTGCTTACCTAGTCAATTCAAATGACTCATTTCACATGACTGCTTCTCACAAACTAGAACTAAGAACCTTAAAACAGAGATAATAGACATTACTAGAATACACTTATCAAAAAGTAAGGGTCCCGAAGTATCTCTTTTTCACCAACCAAATGTACAGCCAGCGTTGGCTTAACTAACAAGCGCCACGTGTTATACTTTATGATACTTCCAATGCCACGTGCCCTGCGATGGAAACATCATAATTTTTTTAAGAAGGCGCACTCTTGATATTTCAGGGATAATTGACACGTGTTGGTTTTTCATCTGTTTTGGTCAGAATAACACTTGAAACTGGAGATGGTTATTATACACTCTAATGGTTTTTTGCGTTCGTCATATAGAGAAAGGACAATAGGGGGTGAGAGCTAGGGGATTTCTTTGCTGGTGCTTAATTAAACAGTTTTGGTTACCGCTAGCTTATGCAGAATGATGAAAAATCTGCGTCACTAATAATATTGGGTATTATGTAAGTCGAAGTTGAAGAACCGTTATTACGTTTTAATATGTTCAATAGAAGCTGTACTGAGAAAAAAACAGGAATTCAAGTGTTTCTGAAATGACGATGTATTCGAATTTCGGAGTAAAAAACTGTCCAGATAAATTTCCTATGTTTTCTAGGTTAACCTCATCTTTCATTTTCAAAGTACACAACCTAGATTGACGCCGAGGGTTCGCCAAGGATCGGCTTTGGCTCCAAAACTGCTTAGCGGATGAGCATACATTGTATTGGTGCATTCTTCATGACATCACTTATACGGGTAGGATACATGAAAGTGGCTGTTTCCATCAACTCGCTGCTTCGCAGAAATTAACTGATGTTCACAGGTAAGTTCCTTTGATTTTGTTAATGTAGGTTAACTAATAAGAAAAATAAGGATACGGGCAAAAAAACGACTAGTGTGCCCTATCTGTTTTGCCCAAATCACATATTCTAGATTTTTTTTGTTTTATACTAATGTGTTTGATTCAATCCTCTTCATTTGTATGATGGATATAAATTTCCTTAAATATACGTTACATTTATTTATGTTATCGTATAAAATTGGAATTCGCCACTTATTGAGAAAGGTTGGAAGAACACCTCTATGTACTCCTTCGCGATGGCCGATGGTTTTGATGTAAAACGGGAGATTCTAAAGATGGGGTTCTGCCCAGCAAAGGTATAACGTATCTTGAAAAGTGAGGTTTTGCCGTTTTTTTTTTGACATTTCGTAGGTTATTTGTGACATAACGTAGGTTCTTCTACAAGATGTTAACTTAGCGCAAGGTGTTGTACACTTGTTATGAACTCGTTTTGTAGCTGTACGTGTTGTTTAAACGTAGGCGAACAACCTGTTTAGGGCTAGGAACTACTTCTCGCTATTTAAGCTCCTGGTCCTGTGCAAGTGCCAGATGCTACAATGTTCATAAATAAGCAATGTTTGAACACCTACAATCTTCATAGTGCCACACATTTTAGGCCTTATAGACGGATTCGTCAGCTCTATGCATTTCATTGCCTTTAGAACTATGTGTGTCAAGAATTTCTTGGTACGACCATTTCTTCGTTCCTAGGATATGAGGAATGTAGAACAATCTGTCGGAAGAGGTTCAAAAATCGAATTAACAAAATTCTTTAACCTCTGCAGCAGTTGCGGTACCTCGATATTAAGGCTCTACCTTCAGTATAGAATGTAGGATCTAGAGTGGCTGCGCATGACCTTATATTTTATTTTCGTTGTTTTGGCTGCCTCAATGATCAACTTCAAAGCACTTTTGGATCAAACAACCCTCTTAACACACTCCTGAATTTTATGTTAGCGAAACTCCAAGATATACAGAAACCCTGCAGTTGATATTCTGTTTTCGAAACATCTCTTATCAAGGTTCTTTTGCTGCTGGAGAAATATATAGTCAAAGGGTATAATGAGCCTTGGGGTCATAAAATACAAAAATCCATCAACAGGATTTTGTCGGCATCAAGACACACTAGGAGATAATTAAAAAAATGAGTTAGTGTAGTAGGAAATCTGTCAAAGGATGAATGAAGGCGGATGGCCGAAGCTATTACGTCCAGGTACAAGCGCGGCTTTAACTCGACGACGTGTAGATGTATATTCCCTGTTATGACATGGATAATCAGGGGCGTCCATTTTACATACCAGCATACTTGATAGTCCATCGAAATAAGACAGCACCAAGTGCCATCTGTTGCAAGAATCTGCCACTGTGAAAGTGAAAACAGCAACATGTCTGTTTTAACTGTATCTCAGTTAGCATTATCAGCCGGGTCACCACAGTGGCCGCTAAATGCCGCCGATTATGGTGCTATACTCTGTGGTCGGATGAAAAAAAGCTATAATACTAACTAGTTCAATGGCGAGTAGACCATATCTACTATCGCGCCAGAATCGGAGACCTCTAGCGACCACAGTGGTGACCTGGGTGACAATGCGAACTGGGATACTGTTTCAACAGACATCTTGCTTAGTGGCCGATTATGGATGGGATCTTGTGCTGTCTTATTTTGATAGACGTTATGTTCTGGATAGAGGATAGTTGCTCAGCTTTCGTTCATTGTCCTACCTGACACCAGGCAAACATCATGCTGAGAAATTGTCAAATAGCATGAAAAAACTGTTTCCGGTTGGTCATCTACGTATGATCTCATAGGTCCAAACTACAGATTAATCGAAAAATGTTCTTTTCATGTCTGTATTCAAACAATATTCTCTTTGCAAAGACTGGCCATCCGTCAGAATTGGGGTGTTAGTCTGGATAACTCTTCGTTGATTTAATAGAGTAGTAATTATTGAACTGCAACATATTCCGACAGTAATGGTGACACCTAGGTTATTCGTCAAACATGAGGTTGTTGCACTTCTTTATCTGTAATGAAAATTGTGTTGCAGTTGATATTTTCTAAGAAAAAAACTAAGGATAATATTCAGTCAGACCTTGGTGCTTAGCCATTTCAACTAATGGGCCGTAGGTGACTAGTGCTGATATTACAAAAATGCAACGGGTTCAAAATAGCTGCCGCTGACTGGCATGTGGAATCAGGAAGTATTACTCCACATTACACAAAATCAAAGAGTGCGATTTGCTTAACATCCTTCACTTCCTTCCTGTTTTACTTTCCACGCCTACTGGCATTGTAAACGTGAAAAATTTAGAAAATGAGATGTTATGTTCTTTGGATGTTATATGACATGTACATCATGAAAAACAATGTGTATGATTTCCGTCGGTCTGTCGGTCTGTTTGTCTATCAGTCGGTAAACCCATCTGTCCGCTAATCCTTGGACCGTGTATAGCTTGGAATAAACCACCAGAGTTTGGTTTAAATTTACACACAAGCTTTGTAGATTTTAAGAATCAGTCCAGTGGCAGTAGGCTACGGGGTAAAAAACGAAAAATCGCTCAAACTTGGTTTTCTGACAGAGGCTTTCCTGATCATTTTCGGGAACATTTTTGTAGGGGGGAGGGCACATCTCAATGTTTTGAGGTTAGTGTATTTATACGCTCCCAACCCCGGTAATTGCATTTTTGGAAGGCGTCGCAGCTTCTGTCGTCTGGGATCACCGGAGGGCGTGCCGGACTTGATAAGTGTCCGGACATTACTGCCGCGCTGCCGTGTGCCATCTGATGCGTTATGCGGTATGGTATGACGGAAAAGCGACGTTGCCAGGCTGGTGGTACTATCGGTGGGGCAGGGAAAAGTGTGTATGCGCTAATTGTATGGACCTACTCGACTGACCTGATCCGTTTAATTTCTCTGTTATACATGTTCGTACCTATTTTTTTCTCACAAGGTCTAACTTCTGCTTAACATAATCTTCCATGAACTGATGACGGCGTTGCTCGTGAGGTATAGAGTTAACCTACTTGACGCCATTTTTATTCTTAAAATCGCAGAGTGAGGAGATGATGATGGACTTCTTTTTGATAAATAGTGTTGATCTTTCTGCTTTTGTTTCTTCCTTTCCTATCACTAGAAATATATCCTTACTTCAATATCAGACAAATCTTCGAGGGCGACAGACTTCCGATAAAGAACTTGTCACGACGCTTTATCAGTCCATTGTTTTTACCCGAGGTGCAACATGGTCAACAGTTTTTTCTTATTTACAGTAGTGGACTTTGCAGTGGTACGCCCCTGGGTCAATACGCTCATTCAAGCGTTGGCGTTTTACCAGTCTTCTACCGGTAGAAGAATAATATGAAGATTAGCTTTTCATAAGTCCGCGCTACTCAGTCAAAACAAAGTAATTGGCCTTCTCTCAGTTAAATTAACATCCACCTGAAAATATTTTAATGAGGTTCGAGGATATTAGTTTTTAATGAAAATAATGAGTATAGTTAGCTGGAAGATTTATTCTTTCCTGTCTTTCAATTATATTTGAATGGGTTTTGGATAAGTAGATAAGTGTGTTATAGAAAAAATATGAGTCTTTCAACACCAACAGGCCATGAAAAAATATATAGTAAGTTAAAGCCCGTATACACCGTTTCAGATTAACTTCAACCTTACTGAGTTGCACTTTAAGTTAAGAATGGTACATCTATCTACCGACTTCGTTCCGCATCTTCCAAGTTAAATCTCTTTTCAATCAGGTCACGCTGCGTTTGTTATAGGAAATTTGAGTTTTGGTTATGTATTTTGAAAGTTCTTTCATGTTTTTATCAGAGTCACTCATGATGAACTGTGTCAGTAATATTTAAACAAGCTTTTCTATAAGATCGTGATATTAAGTAGACTGCAATAGAATATCTCATTAACCATGTATTTGAACTGGATAAAAGATTATAATAATTTACAAAGGACAATAATGTCACGAGTCCGGCCAATTAATAAGCAGGCAGGGCATTTTGCGGAACATGTAGCATGAAGAACTTTGGAAAACAGTTTTGATACAACCTAAAATTCCATAACAAGTGAGCTACTTTAGGTATAATACTTGTACAAGAAGCCTTTCTTTCTCAATAAAGACTTATATATCATTTCCTCAGTCTGAATCATACCTAAACCCCCTATAAACGTATTTAATCTAACTTCCACAAAATATAGCAGTATAAATTCTTCAGGAAAGTATTGATCCATATTCTCATTGGCATATTTTTCTCGGAATGCCATCTTTAATACTATCTTCGGTGTAAGTTTTCAAATTTCCTGAGTTATTTTTTACATGTATGGTTTTAGCATTTTAAGTCAACGATTTGGGTTACTTACTTTTAAGAACATGCGTCTATTCACGTCGCTCTAATATTGAATGCGTAATTTGATGGTATCACGTAGAAGAGATTGCAAGGAAACAGTTTCGCACTCCAGTTTTTCCTGCATTAGTAAATTACAACAAATATAAACGGTCTGCCACTTGTTGCAGCATACACTCCAGGGACAATAGTACGTCAAGTGAGTGTCAAGGTCGGATCCAAAGGTAGTTATTGAGTCATGACTCCCCTACCCCCCTGGGCGAATAGAATAATATTTTTTTGATCTTATAGAAAATCTCTACAATGGTGAATGGTGTAAGGCCAACCATTTGTATATGTTATTATTTGTATTATTAAATGTATCACAACATAAAAAAGCTTGTATGCTCCCTTGATGCTCTATCAGTTAATGCAGCGATAGCAGAGATGTCCACCTTTATTCTCGGGATGCTCAAAAACATGATTAAGAGTGTCTATGGCGGAAAATCACCTGACTAGACTGGCATCTGCTTACGTCCACCAAATTGTAGCTACCTGTCGATCTAGAAGAAGTGATAAATTATTCGACATGAAAAAAAAATGACTTTTAACAACAGAATGCTTTTTTTTAGATTTATTATTTAACACAT